AAACAACACCGGACCTGGCTTTATCAATGGTCACAGTCACCTGGGAGAACTACTCGGGATTCTGTATACCATAAACCTCTTACTCTGGGATTGGGCTTGATTATTGTTACTCTCGGCGTACACCCTTTCTGCTTGGCCATTGCTGATCAATGCATTTTCTTTATTAGCTTGATTTTCTGTTTCGATCCACCTTTGGATTTCGCATCACGCCTAAAAATCTGGGCAGTTATTGTGTTATTTGTTATTCTCTCAATTTACTTCAGTTAAATTTATTTAAGGAAAGAGGTGTGGGCCTTCAAATAATCCATATGGGATGCAAAACAGGGAGTGATTTACAGAGAAACCATGTGGGCAGAAATATTTAAAGGATATTTTTAAATATGCCGCTGAATATCACATCCTGACCATGTAGCCATGTTTTGTTCTTTCCAATATTTTCATTAGACAGACTTTCTAATATTCAGTCCGAGTTCATGCTCATGTGAACAGTTGACAGAACTATTGTAAGGTTTCCAGCTGACCAAAAACCCACACGCCTAGGTAATTGAGCAAACCGAGTGACCTTGTGGTCGTTTTAGTTTGCTATTCTATGTAAACCTATAGTTGGAATATTTTGAATTGGCGGCTTTAACCTCCTCGTTAGTTTTCTAATGTTGTTGTCTCCTTGCGATTAGTGAAAACATTTAAATGATGCTCTCGTCTTCATATATTTATCATCTTTGCATTATTAATTTGGACAAAAGTGTTTTGGGAATATTAATCAAAGGCTATTGTGCCTTAAATCACATACATATGTCTCATGTGTATGCGTGCACGCACACACTGCTGGAATTATAACACGGTGTAAATTATAATTGTTTTTATGGCGATAAAGGCAGGCTAGCTATCATTATTTCAAGACGGCAAAAAAACATTCATGTATAGGCTGAAAGAAATTCCATGAAAGACAAACGAGGCGAAGTCGACGATACCGGCTTGTTCGCAGGCGTCACGCGACGTCTGACTTACAAATATGTCTACAACGGTCAATCCCAGACCCGTCGATGGTTGAAGGGTTGGATTTTGTGACTGCGACCAAATTATAGAATTGGTTAATTTGCTACTGGTTATTTCGTTCCTCGGTGCCTGTACTGACACTCCTGCATTGTAAATGGCCGCCCCAGTTTCAAAATTAATTTTAATCTATTTGAATGTTATTAAGTATCCCTTTATGATCAGGTTCACTGGGTTGCATTCTCGCTATAAAACAGAGAGCAATCAAATTCGAGGAAACCGTGAACGTTTAAATCACGCATATGTTTAACATAAGGCGGGCAAAATCAATACAGGGTACGCGTAAAATCGGGTGCAACATGTACAAATAACGGACAACAGCAGAACGTGGTTGTACTGAGAACCGTAAAGAAAATAAGCTAAAACTACAGGGCCTATGTACAGTAAGAATGCTGTTATTCGCCAGCCTTCCAATATTAGAGGTAGTCAAGACATCTGCGATTGTGTGGAAATTTATCCAACAAACGCTGACTGCATTCTTTGATGAGAGCGTTAAAATGGAAAGATAACTTTGGCCCAGACTTCAAAAGTACATCAACTTCCTCATGAAAAACGAGGTGCATGTGGTCGATTGGAAACATGGTTACCATATCTTTAGGTAAGTAATCAAAGGGCGATCCGCTCTTGTGGTGGAATGCCTGAGCTTGCAATCAGAACAAACTGTCGTCTCATAATCGATCACTTTTTGTGAGAAAGTCATGCGGTTGGTAGCGGAGCTCCCAACATGACAACGCCTGCTGTGATTGCTTTTATCTACGCGAAACAACATTCCTGTCGCATCCATACTAGCCATCATGCGTTTTCACTTGCCTGACGTAGCAACAAGTACCTTTACAGCCTGACTTTACAGCCTTTACTTCCCTGACGTAGGATCAGCCTCTACTGTCAATTGGACACGCAAACCAACAATAATGTGTTCCTTCAATCCCAATATATAGCCATCTAAAAAGTCGTCCAGAGGGTCCGGCTTGCTAGAACGCCTACAAATAAGGGTTGCTCAACTACTGGATGGCCGATGTGACAGAGTTTGGGCCACAGAATTGACTGGACCCTTTAAAATCTTCATTTCGTCGGTGTGCAATGGAATGCGCATTTCAAAAATTTTCGTTATTGGCTGAAGGTGCAGCCCATGGAGCAGACCCAAATGGACGTAGCACGTGTTCACGAGATGCTTCCCAATGCACGTTTGTGACGTTTGCAATAGCATCCGTGGGTGCTTGGGTACCTTCGGAATCAGGAACCACAACATATTAAGCGCTTTCTTAGTCCTCGAAATAGCCATTTGCACTTTTGGGCTAAATTCTTGCAAAGCCCTCAGAAAATTTTCTCCTCCAATTGCGCTTTTGTCTGCCACGTCTTTCGCAGACTCTTTGTCCATTATTCATTTACATGAGTGGCATACCTGTCGGTAGAAATTTCAGGGCTCGATATAGGTATTTTCCGTTTAGACAACAGATATGCAACCTCAGACTCCGGCTCTTTCGTGAATGAATAATGTGCCTTCGTTTGGCGCTTAATGCGCTTGCATATGGTTTTCGGGTCATATCTACAGTAATAACGCCCTATAGTTATTTCCCGTAGGTTATAAAAACCGACATGCAAATGGTATAATTGCACTACCAACACCAAGACTGCTACAAACCATGCGATTCGACATGCCGGCTAGTCAATACCTTAAAAACTATCGTAAAACAAGCAAATTAATAAAAGACACAGATAAACAACTTAGAAAAGACTTTGGTTGGCAGATGTCTTTGGACTTTTGTAGCAAGCTTTAGCATTCACACCGATGCACACTCAACTTGCTTAAAAGATAGGAGCTCTCCCAATAGGCGAAGTAAACAAGGCTACTCATTGAACTCACCCATGGCTATGTTCAGTGAGCCCTAAGGGTAATTCTGTCCAAAAAGCAACTTATTTTGGTAAAATGGACTTGCGTAGTCGTAAATGCACTAAAATAAGTGAAATTTTTGGAGCATGTATACTGCGATCTAAAACAGGCTTCAGTCCAGCCTAACCACCCGCCGCCTTAAAGGGGCCCATGTGCTGGCAGAGGTGCAACTGTTTTAGGGCGCACTAGTAAATCGTCATGTAGCCTTTAGCTGATTCATTACATCAGTTGTGTATGAAAGCTTACTACGTGAAGATGTCATTTTAAAAAACTCTCTAGCTTAACTTATGTGAGATGAAAGTTAAGGGAATTTCAGTCACCCCTGAGCACTTTTATGAATTGCATATATCTTAATATGTTACCTCTGACCCTACAAAAGTTAAACATCGGAATCGTTAGGTTGCAGGCTTGCCGCGGTGTTTTACGTAAATTGAATATATCTAAGGCTTATGGAAATTTAGCTTCTGACCTTATAAAGTCATGTCCGGAGACTTACCTCCATGTCCTGCACTGAGTAATTTCTGAAATTATTTACTTGATATATATAAATATACATTTATATCATCGCTGATTCCTGGACGAATATATATATATATGCTTATATACCATGCTTATATACCATGCTTATATACCTCACTTCATAAGGCCTATGACGTACTGATGATCGGTAACGACCGTGAAACAGCTGTCTGCGTCTGGCCTGTTGCACTCTTAGCGAGCTGCTCATGTATTATATGTGGTATGTGTCCTCTGACACAGCGTTCGTTGTCGCCAGTAGGAAGCTGGCGGGCGGACAGAATGGGATCGAGTGAGATCCTAACCACAACAGTGAGGGTCAAACGCCCACTTGACATGCTTATATACCTCACTTCATAAGGCCTATGACGTACTGATGATCGGTAACGACCGTGAAACAGCTGTCTGCGTCTGGCCTGTTGCACTCTTAGCGAGCTGCTCATGTAATATGACAGTTCGACCATCGATTTCGATGATGTCCACCGTGTGCCCCACAGTTGCAGCAGCAATGAGAGCAGGGACGGTGACTTACGCAGGGGTTTATAGTGCCGGTAGACTTGCGTGGCATCTACCTACACTCTCTCCTCCTCCCTCGCCCGAGCCCGGTGTGAAGACAGTGTCAAGAAGACCGGAGACGAGAGAGGCCGCAACTGGATGGCTCGGACGGATCCTCACCTTGGCGTTCCACCACACCCCCTGGCCCACACAACAAATAACCAGGATTTCAACCAACACAAGAGAGATTTGGAGGCTGGCACGACCGAAGCCGCACCTGGGCGTGCCGCCAACGCCTGGCTCGGATCCCACACTGTGATGGGAGTGCCATAAAGGCCACATTAAAAAGGAGCCATTGCAGCCTGACTCTCAGACCGCCTCCCGTCAAGGAGGAGGTCCAAGGTACCCCGTCAGTTGGCAACCTTCCAAGCCACGGCTTTTAGCGCACCGTGATAGCTTCAAGTGCGTCAGATTGTTTATAGTGAGGAGTAAGTGCGCTGAGCCGTCGACCTCACTCTCCCTTCCCACTCCCACACCCCAGTCGCTGTCCGAGCCGGTCAGCAGACTGGAGTGGGGAATGGGCGCGGTGGCTGTCATGGTCGACTGACCATGACTGCGCGCGCCACGGCGCGACCTGGCCCCCCATACACACAAAACCAGGATTTCACACAACGGGGGTTGAACGGCGTGTCTCTCACTTGCATGAGAGTGCCGTGGAAGGTTCGGTTTCAGCCCGTTCCCAGCTTACCAGTCCGCCACTCCACACAACACACACACACAACGCGACGAACTGCGTGAGCCGAGAGCGGGCGTCAATCAGCAACCTTCCTATCCACGACGCTTGACGTGTCGGGATAGTCTCGGACTCAAGTCACCCGTGCAGCCGAAGCCGCATAGGGACCGAGTCGAGATGCGGACTTCCCACTTGCGTGGGAGGTGGCAGTTGGGTGCATGAGGTGTGTGAGTGTTGATTTCTGGTGGGGTGATGGTGGTGGTGGAGGAGGAGGTAGGGAGTGAGTGAATGTGTGGTGTGGCCGGCGGTTGTCTACCGCAGGTCGTCGTGGATGCGCATGTGGCCGAATAGGCTTATGCGATGCCTGAATGTGCGAGGACAGTGTGGGCAGTTGAGACGAGCTTGGTGGGTATAGGTGGGTGCTCCAGGCACTGGTTCGCCAGTCTCTGTGCGATGGATTCGCAAGTGACCGACCAGGCCGATGCGTGAGGTGAATGTGCGTGGACAGTGTGGGCATGAGAAGTCTACGGTGTCAGTGTCAGCTACAGAGGAGGCGGTGGTGGTGGTGGTGTCGCGGACGGATGGAACGAGAGTGGGGGTGTGCACGGTGGATGTGTTGGATGTGGTGGGTGTGTCGGGAGTGCGGGCAAGGCCGCTCTCGTGGATGCGCATGTGGCCGAAAAGGCCCATGCGATGCCTGAAGGTGCGAGGGCAGTGTGGGCAGTGGAGGCGAGTGCGGTGGGTGTAGGTTGGTGCTCCAGGCACTGGTTCGCCAGTCTCTGTGCGATGGATTCGCAAGTGACCGACCAGGCCGATGTGTGAGGTGAAGGTACGGTCGCAGAGAGGGCAGGTGTAGTCCTGATCCTCATCCCTGGAGTCGGGGGAGGTGGTGGTAGTGTCGGTTGCTGTGCGTGGGACAGTCGCCTGAGCGGCCGCCGTTGGAGCAGTGGGCGAGGAGGAGGAGGAGGAGGAGGATGATGGAAGTGGTGGGTCAGAAGAATTGTCAGGGTTAGTTGGCGGCGGAGAGGAGGAGGAAGAGGCAGGCGGGGGGACGATGGTTGGTGCCGTTCGAGAGGCGCAGTTAATCCGAAGATGTCCAACAAGTCCGATTCGAGCCCGGAATGTCCGTTGACATCGAGGACACGTTGGGAGCGGTTGTGCTTACTGGGCGAAGTTGTGATTTGCGGGCTTCACGTTTCGCTTTGGCGGCAGCGATGCGGTTGGCTTCGTAGATCGCAGCGCCTGTCTTCACTGTCCTCCTCCAGGTCGGTCGATCGAGTGCGAGCTCCTCCCAGTTGGTGGGGTTGATTTGCAGGCATTTCAGGGAGGACTTCAGGGTATCCTTGTAACGGCGAATCTGGCCTCCTTGACGGCGAGAACCCGTCGCGACGTCTCCGTAGAAGAGTCGTTTGGGTAGTCGCTCGTCCTCCATGCGCACAAGGTGGCCGCTCCAGCGCAGCTGAATTTGCCTCAGTATGGCGTAGATGCTGAGGATTCCCGTCCGTTCCAGCACATCAGTGTCGGGTATTCGATCCTGCCAGTTCAGCATCAGGATGCGACGAAGACAACTGAGGTGGAAGTGGTTCAGACGACGTGCCTGCTTTGCGTACACCGTCCAATTCTCCGCTCCATACAGTAGCGTCGGCAGGATGACGGCCTTGTACATCTTCAGCTTCGTGTTCAGTTGGAGACCATGACGATTCCAAACTGTGCTTTGGAGGCGACCGAAGGCTTGACTGGCTTTCGAGATCCTGTTGGCGACTTCGTCGTCGATCTTGGTGTTGCGGGAGAGAGTACTGCCCAGGTATGGGAAGTTCTCCAC